GGTACCTGTACGCTGGCGATGCGGCTGATGCTTTCGATACCATTCTCCACAAGGGACAAGTCGGCCAGGTGTATAACATCGGCTCATGCGATGAGGTTTCCAACCTTGAGCTCTGCGCGTTGCTTCTTGACCGAATCAGCATCCCACACGACACCCCCGAGCAGCTCCGCAAGTGGATCAAGCACACGCGGGACCGGCCATTCAACGACCGGCGGTATGCAGTGGATGACACCAAACTACGCCGACTTGGCTGGGAGCAGAAGGTTTCTATCCATGAGGGGCTCAAGATAACAGTAGACTGGTTCACCCAGTTTGGTGAGTCTTGGTGGGGAGATATCAGCCATGCCCTCGCCCCATTCCCCGTGGTGAGGGACGGTAAGATGATGACAAACGATGCATGTTGGACGAGAGCTGAGCCACCCAAGGCGCAAGATACGAAGCTACAAGACGTACAGCAAGACGTGCAGAAGAAGGAGGACTTGAACAAATGCCGTGATAGGGCCCAGAATGGGGATGAGACGACAAGTTTCCACAGAGGGGTGCATAATGGCAGCGGGGAATTTCATATGGCTGCTTAAAGACAAGGCCGCAGAAGGACGGCCAAGAATCTGGTTGTTGGGACCTTTGAAGGATTAAAGAATAGATACCATACATGGCGGTGAGAGTTAGTTTCTTCTCATGCTTCTCATAAATAGATACCTAGATAGACAGAGAGTTGAAGCCGACAAGGAACAGGGCAATATTTCGCTTAGACCTTGGCAGGACCAGCGAGTTGGGGCGATGATACTAGAAGTACGGGTCACAGATAGTACACATATAGACATGATGCTTGAAGACATTTAAAAGAAACTTGAAAATTATGATGCCGACGATATGGGCGTTTTACTTGAAGGAACGGATCTGCTTGTTGTAGACGGCCCCTGGAACCACTACCAATCACCAAGCTGCGCGGATGCAAGGGCACCACAAGCCGCACGAATGGTAGAACAACGGGGATTAAACTAGGCACATATACACACGTAGTCAGGGCCCAGGAACCCGCATCCTTAGGGCACGTTAGCTGAGCTAGCAGTAGAACGGCTCTCGGGGAATGCAACCTCCTGCATGATGCATCACCGTCCGAGCAAACAACTCGTCTCCCGGGTCATGATCGGGGAACCACGGGGGGGCCAGTCCCAGTCCCAGTCCAGGAACCAACCCAACCCAACCGGCAGATGACGCTGGAAGATGGATTGGAGGGACGGATGGAACGCCGAACCAGCGGCCCGGGGGAGCACCCGCGGCAGCGGGCCGAGTGGTGACAGGACAAGGGACTGAGGGGAGCCCAGGGGACGGGGAATCAAAACCTGCGCACAGAAGTTTTTGCGAGTCAAAGGAGACAAAACCCTCTTTTTACCTTTTGAGGCCTGACCCGGGGCTCTGCGAATGGGATGCGAGCGGCGTCATCTGCAGCGGCATCTTGGGTGCCCAAAGAGCATGGATGAGAAACGAACGGAACCAACCCAACGGAACCTCGAATGGAACCTGCCTGTGTCGGAGATGGATGCACTGGAGCGGGTTCTTGGGAATGTTCCCGAGGTGCTGGGCTGCGCAATCCATCTCAATTGGATCCCAATCCATTCCCAATCCACGCAAGGCGAACTGCCGAGATTTGGACCTCGAATCCATCCATCAGATCACATCAGAATTTAGCATTAGGGGTTTGGCGGCGGCGGAGGAATGGCGGAAATCTGGAAGGGTTCTGGACGATTGCAATGGGATGGATGCGTCGGATGAGGTGATGATGGCTTGGGTTGTCGAGATTTGAGTTGAAGCCTCGTTTCGAGATGGACAAGGCCAAACTGGTGGTGAGCTGAGCTACCGCTACCGTTCCCGGCGCTAACTCTGAGCAGCTGAAATGAACAGTACAGACTGCCTACGTACAGCTGCCATCTTTGCAAAGGTATTGCTTGTTACCTACCTCGGTATCGAAGGGGACGGGCCGCTGGATGACCCCGATCGGTCCAGGACGGCAAGACAAGCGAGGCGACCGAGTTGCAGATTCTGCTCTTGCGTTGCGTCTGCGAACCTGGAGGATACGATACGGCAATGCTCCGACTGCAACTGTGCCCTGTCCCGACAGGGTGGACATGGCTTTAGATGGAGATGGGAGAAGAGACAAGAAGACCGAGAGAGTCGGCCAACTAAACTACTGCAACTGCAGCAGCAACAACACCAACGGTGACGATGCCAGCACGACAGAGGCACAGAAAAGTTGGCCGAGAAGACGGGGGAGCTGTACGTGGCACTTCCACGGCCCATAATTGCTTCCATTGACTTTCCTATCTTGTTCCTCCCGGACCTGCCCGTCACCTGAATTTGTCTCGTCCCCTCCACCAGGCGGCGCCTCGTGTCTGGACTCTCTCTCACGACTCATTACGGGCCCGAGCTGGATGAGAGCCTGAATCAAGTCCTGCTGAATTGAACCGACTGTCCGTTCCCTGTCTTCCCCCCCTCTTAGCCTCTCCACCGTCTCCTCGCACCGCCTCCGCTGCTGTGGGATGATGGGGGACGGAGAGGACTGGGAAGTGGAGGTTCAGGCCTGGGCCGGGCCTGCAGGGTCCCAGCAGATGGTGAACAGGCCATCTCCTGGCCAAGAGTGGAGATTTCTTTGACGTTCGCTTAGCCGCTTCAAGTATGGCCTGGGGGGGATAATGCCAAGGGGGTGACAAGCTGCGCTGGAGTTGTCTACTGCTCGTGAAGGAAACGCCAGAGAACAAGAGCGAAATGTTCGCCGGAAGAGGCAGTGGGTGAGGTTAAGTTTCTTGAGAGCTTCTAGGCTTAGCTAGAACTCTTTATGGCGTCTCTCTGAGCTTCCATGGGGTTTCACAGAAAGACAAGAGAAAAAAAAGTGGTACTCAGGAATTGCGATCCCGAAGAACAAGCGGGTTTTTTGGGTGTTGGTGCTGTAAGAGGGTTGCACAGCCCATCCATCGCCCACTCGGAAGCCTGAGGTTGTACTGACGGCTAGAGCCATGTCCTGACAGCAGGCAAGATGCAAAACACACAATGCAGGGCAACCTCGGCATGGGTCCTTGATAGGTAGTGGAGGGTAGGTGTCCATAAGTAAGTTAGGGACTCGGTGATAATGAACTCCTAGCTAATGACGCGTATCGGTCATCGTATCGTATCGCCATCGCCCTCGGCCCTCGAGCAATTACCACACCCAAGAGGTACTATGTAGGTAGGTGGTCTTTGCACACGGGCCGGAGCTAGCCTCGTCGCTCGCTGCGAATAACGCGCCCGCGCATGGACTGATGGGAAGCGCACAAAGGCTTGGGCTTGCTTGAGGCTTGCCTGGGTCCAGGTCTGGGCCTGGACCTTTGTAAAAGCCCCCTTGGAGCTGAGGGCCAATAGGCCGCATCGGAGCAGCAGCAGCAGCAGCAGCAGAAATGTCGAGGGCATATGCCGGAGGAGGATGAGGTGCTGTAGTGTAGGATTCTACTCCATCCATCCATCACAAGAGATGTGTCGTTCTATGTTAGCTCTCCCCTTGCTCCTGAGAGGCTGAGGAATGGATATCTCGAATCCTTCTTAGCCATTGTAACCTCAATCTCGTGTCATTTGTGTGTGTTTTGCTCTTATGTCTACGGCCGGTTCGGAACTGGGTCTGGGTGAGTAAGCAACCATGAAATGTAATGCAATGCGATGCAGTAAGCTGGAGTCAAGGTAAAGCAGCAACAAACAGCGAGTGAGAGTGGCTCCCATTCCCATCCGTGGAATTGGATCCAATGTCACGGTCCTCCCGCTGCCGCTGCCGCTGCCGCTGCCACTACCGTCGTGCGCCCTCCCAAACACGGAGCTTGTCTTGATTCTTTCTCTCTCCGAGATACTAGACGATGACCAAGAGGTTATTCAACACCCCCTCGGAGACAGGCCATGCCGATACAGAGAGGGCCGTGATAATACAGTATCTTTCTCTCTGCCCGTCCACACTCGGCAAAGCTCCTCAACTCGACAAGTCCAGTTCTCCCCATGTCAGAAAACTGCTAGCGTGCCTCGCCGTCAACACAAGAGACTTCTGGCCTAGCCGGAAGCGTCCTAAATCCGACCGGGATCCCCCTGTCTGATTCCCTGTGGTCACCCGTTGCCCAAGCTGCGCGAGACAGGTACTCGCTGCCCCCTGCAACCTACCTGACCTCCGGGATCCCAGCTTTTTCGCCCATGCCATGCATCCACATCCACATCCAATCCATTCGCGTCCTCCACTTCTTGTTCCTCATCAACCAACCCCAGGAGAAAGAGAGTGCGAGAGACCGAGAGAGATAGAGAGAGAGAGAGAGAGAAGCCTCTTTCTTGTTCCTCTAGAGCTTGTCCTGTCTTGTCGTGCCCTGTCTTGACCTTGCTTGTTCCCTGTGTGGCCATCTCTCTTCTACATCCTCCTCCTCCTCCTCTCCCTCTCTCCAAGCCCTGTCGCTCTCTTCTTTTGCTCCGTCCCTACCTTGTCCACGTTTCTGGCCTGTGCTCACAGACCATCCCCTCCAATCCCCAGGTCTCTCTCCAGGTCTTGGTCTTATTCAAAGTCCTCGGGTCCCCTCCACTCCCGAATCCGAGTCCCCTTCCATATCAATCATTCATTATCCGTCGCCCGTCCGTGTCTTGAACTTTTCGCTTTTACTGCGCCGACGCCCATCCTGCCCCGTCTGCGACTGGATCGACATTGCCCTTGCATCCAGACGACGACAATCTTGCTGCCGTACTCCCCTCCATCATCGCCACTGTCGCGACAACGACAACATCTCCTCGACATCGACGACAAACCTTTCTTCTGGGATAGACCTCGTCTCCCGCGCCGCTCGTTTTAGCCCTATTGCCTAGATCCGAATCATGTCGTCGGCCATTGTCGCCTCTTTTCGATTACGATAGGATAGCTGTCCCCCAACTCGGCGTCCATGGCCAAAAAGCGTCGAACCAAGCAGAAGAAGTCGAGGGGACGTCACGACCGCTCTCAGACGAGCACAATGTCCTCGGAGGACTCGTACGCTATCCAAAGCGGCCGCCAATCCCTCGACGGTACACCGAGCGAGCATGCCGCAAGCGACGGCAATCAAACCGCCATGACCAGCATCATGGACACAGACGAAGAGCGCCACCATGATTCAGAATTTGACGAAGACGAAGACGTTGATGAGGATGACATGATATCTATATACCCCGCCTCACATTATCCCGGCGTCTCTGCTGCACACCGGGTCGAGGCTCCATTGTCCCCAGATTCCCACGCGGCAGACTCAGACATGTAGGCGACACAATTCCACCTTGCCTCACCTTGCGTACAATGCTAATTCCCGGTGCTACAGAGCTGCGTCCACGCGATCATTATGGGCACAAGATCTCGACTACCGAGAAATCCACGGCCGACGCTACTGCCGCGAGTACTTTATGCCCAACGACGACATTGAGCAATGGCGGATATCTCTTCAACACCAGGTCTTTATGCATGTGCTGGATGGCGAGCTGACACTTGCTCCGATCCAAGATCCCACTCACATCCTCGATGTTGGTACAGGCACTGGCGAATGGGCCATTAAGATGGCCGAGATGCACCCTCATTGCGAGGTCGTGGGAACCGACATTGCCGCGATCGCAGAGACCAAGAGCGTCCCTATGAACGTATTCTTCGAGATCGAAGACGCCGAGGACTGGGATCGTCACCCCGACATGTATGACCTGATCCACTTTCGTACTATGGAGGGCGCATTCAGGAATTGGAGGTTCATCTATGACAACGTGTTTTTCTCGCTGAAGCCTGGCGGCTGGATCGAGGTGCAGGACTTTGACAGCGCCGAGGGTTTCGTTCGGTTCATGTCGCAGTTCCCCGAGGGATCACCCCTATTCGACCTGGTTCGAGACCTCGATGCCGCAGCGACCAAGTCGGGGCGGCCACGAGGCACTGCCCATCTCGACCCCCGGTTATTTATGGAGGCAGGCTTCGTGGATGTCCGGACAACCGAATACTCGATCCCCATCACGGTGGCTGAGAAGTCAGCAGGCAAGATCTGGCTGATTGCGTGTCTGGATGGTCTCGAAGCCCACTGCCTGCGACTCCTAACTGAGCAGCTAGGATGGGATCCTGAGAAGTGCAAAGCAGCCTGTGAGCGTGCCGCGCGAGAGCTGGCAAACTTGGCCAAGGACCCCGAAAAGTCCAAGGGTCTTCAGATCAAGATGCGCGTCGTGACAGGCAGAAAGCCACTGGACACGCCACCGACAGATCTTGCAGAGCTGTTAGGGGCATGCAGCTCGACCAGCACGGAGCTGATTGATGACGACAGCCCCGACCCAACACTGCATGCTAGCGATCAGGATGTACGGGACACAGCCTCCACTGTGACAGATGTCACGATGAGGGAGACTCCAGCCGCGGCCACGGCGTCAACGTGAGCTTCGCGGCTCAGGCACATTTAGAACAGAGGTACACAGCGGCCTCGCAAGGGCATTTTTGGCAAAGGGGGTTTGGCGCAGAATCTTGGGCGGCGGCGTTGTATCTGGGTGATGACCAATCTTGCATTTGTATAGGTACTGTGACGATTGTATTTCTGCATTGCTCTAGGGGTATTTAGTGATCTATTTAAGAAGGGGGCAAACATGGATATTCATGGGAGGCCCATTTGATGCAAAAAAAGAATTATTATTGCCCTGCATATATGCCTAGCTAAGCTACCTAGGTAGTCGGTTTGGTGTAAGCGGACGACAAAGGAGATGGGCCAGTTTTGCTTGGTTTCCATCTGTACATGAGGTTAGAATCAGGGAGTTCAACCGTTGGCATATGGGTTGGGCTAATGTATTAGTATTAGACATGAGTTTTCTACTCTTGAAATCATAAGAGTTTTCTCGGTATTACACTCAAGTGACATCCAATGCTAAGTAGTTGAGTTTTCGTGAAGATTTTTTATCTAATGTCTTTGCAGCTATGTAGCTACGCTCAACGGTGATGTAATTGGTGTGAGGCTGTAGCTGCCTTATGCACGAGCAGGCAGCTAAATACACCAACCATCCGTCCCGAGGCCGCGCGCAGGTGGGGAGCTACTCTACAAGGCCAACCAACCATCCACATCCACCGACTTTCGTCACCAACAACTCCCCCGTCAACATCAACCACAGCCGTCTCTGACCTCGCTCCGATCCTCGCTTACCTTGGCCACGTCGAGAACCGAAGAGTCCGCAACTTTCAGGACGCGACACCCCCGATCTGGATCGCCGAGCGCCGAATATGCGCCTGTGAAGCCGCCCAACACCATGGCCCTGGATCTCCAAGACGGCTTCGTCGCCGCCAATGGCGTCCCAGATCTCGAAGAGCCCATCTTTGCCATCGAGCGCGTCCAGCTACAGTTTTCCGTCGCCGCCGACTTTGTCGCTGCCCAGGTCGCCAACAATGTCATCATCCTCGCCCTTTCCAACGGACGCATCCTCCGCATCGACCTAGAACGACCTGAGGATATCGATGGTAAGAGCCTTGAGCAATACGCTGGCATCTACCATGTGGCTACTGCTCAGTGTGATGCTCTTTTCAATTGCTAATGCTATACGCTACAGACATCGACCTACCCAAGAAGCCGTCCGAGGTTGGCGTCATACGGCGCATGTTTCTCGATCCCACCGCGTCCCATCTCATCATCTGCACCGCGCTCGGCGAGAACTACTATCTCCATTCCCAGTCAAAACAACCTCGGCCTCTCGGGCGCCTTCGGGGCGTCTCGATCGAGAGCGTGGCTTGGAACCCTTCGCTGCCCACGGCGTCGACACGGGAGATTCTAATTGGTGCCTCCGACGGCAACATCTACGAGGCCTTTATCGAGACGTCCAAGGAGTTTTACAAGAAGGAGGTGAAGCATCTGAAGAATCTACACAAGCTTCCTGATGGCCCGATCACGGGGCTGTGGGTGGATAACCTCCAGGACAAGTCGGATCTCCGAAGGGTGGTGATAGCCACCCAGAGCCGGTTGTTCCATCTGGTAGGAAGGATTGGGTACGGACACGATGGTTCAGGGTCTGTGTACACCCGGTTGTTTGAGTCGGAGCAGCCGGTTGTTCATGAGCTGTCACGCACATCATCGACCGCTCCCTCGAGCCTAGCGGTGTCTCCCGACCCTCCAGATTCCGGTCCTTATGACGACAACCTACCGGATCGAGCATACGCCTGGCTGTCTTACCAGGGAGTCTTTCACGGTAGACTGTTGAATGGACCCGTGGACAGCAATCTCGGCTCCAAAGTCTTTTCAGAGTCAAAAATGCTTCCAAAGGCCCAAATACTGACGCCCGAGGGTGCAGACCGACGTCCACCAACGTCAGAGCTGATTGATGCTATCGCACTCACACAGTGGCATATTGTTCACCTGGTTGGGGGACGGGTAGTGACGACAAACCGTCTAACTGGCAAGATGGTTTCTGAGCATGATGTTATCGGTCAGGGACAGAAACCTCTGGGTTTCTCTGTGGATATCCAAAAGAACACTTTCTGGCTGTTCACGTCAGAGGAGATTTTCGAGATTGTGGTTCGAGACGAAGAACGCAACATCTGGGAGATTATGACAAAGCTACAGCAGTATGAGCCTGCCTTACAACATGCGCGTACGCAGTTACAAAAGGAGACGGTAGCGGCGGCATACGGTGATCATTTGGCTTCCAAGGGACACTGGCTAGAGGCTGCTACCATTTACGGACGCAGCAACAAGCCGTTTGAGGATATTGCCCTTAGCATCATCGACAATAACCAGCCCGATGCTCTAAGGAAATTCCTACTTACCAAGCTCGCCGCCCTCAAGAGGTCGGCCGTTATGCAGCGGATGATGATTGCTGGCTGGTTGATTGAGGTGTTCATGTCCAAGCTCAACTCGCTGGACGACACCATCAACACCCAGGCAGAGCTGTCTGAGAACCTGAACTCTACCGACTCACAGAAGCTGCTAGAGTCGGTGAGGAAAGAGTACAGGGACTTTGTCGACAAGTACAAGAATGATCTGGACCGGAAAATGGTATACGACGTCATCAGCAGCCACGGCCGCGAAGGAGAGCTCCTCTACTTTGCCAACGCCGTCAATGACTACAACTATGTGCTTTCCTACTGGGTTCAGCGGGAAAGATGGAGCGAGGTGCTCAACGTGCTCAAGAAGCAGACAGATCCCGAGGTGTTTTATCTATATAGCAGCGTTCTAATGGCGCATGTGGCACCAGACTTGGTTGAGATTCTGATGAGGCATTCTGATCTCAAGCCTCGGAAACTGATCCCCGCGTTCCTCGAGTATAACCGGACGTTTGTTGGTGGCCCGAGTGCGCAGAACCAGGCGATAAGGTACCTCAACTACGCGGTGTATCAGCTCAACTCGAAGGATGCGGCGGTTCACAATACGCTCGTCTCGATTTACGCCTCACATTCTTCCAAGGACGAGTCTGGACTCTTGTCGTATCTGCAAGCGCAAGGGGATGAGCCCCGATATGATCCAGATTTTGCCCTGCGACTTTGTATTCAACACCACCGAACTCTATCATGCGTTCACATCTACACCAGCATGGGCCAGTATCTCCAGGCTGTCGATCTGGCTCTCTCACATGACGAAGTAGAGCTGGCAGCTGTTATCGCTGACCGGCCTATGTCAAACCCACAGCTTCGCAAGCGACTCTGGCTCGCCGTGGCGCGAAAGGTGATTTCGCAGTCGAATGGGATCAAGACGGCTATCGAGTTCCTCAAGCGTTGTGATCTGCTCAAGATTGAGGACCTCATCCCTTTCTTCCCTGACTTTGTCGTGATTGACGACTTCAAGGAGGAGATTTGTGCGGCGTTGGAGGACTACAGTCGCAACATTGACAACCTGAAGAAGGAGATGGACGAGTCCTCACAGACGGCTACAAACATCAAGATTGATATTGCGGCCCTGGACCACCGGTACGCAGTGGTGGAGCCTGGAGAGAAGTGCTATACGTGTGGTTTGCCCTTGCTAAGCCGGCAGTTCTTTGTCTTTCCCTGCCAGCACTCATTCCACTCGGACTGCCTGGGACGAAAAGTGCTAGAGCAAGCAGGTGTTGGAAAGTCTTCACGTATCAGGGAACTCCAGATGCAGATTCAGAAGGGGTTGGTCAGCGGCACGCAGAGAGAGACTGTGGTGGCAGAACTGGACGCTTTGGTGGCATCCGCTTGGTGAGTTATTCCTAAGGTGATTTGAGCATTCATAGCTAACTATGGGCAGCATTCTCTGTAGCGACTTGGCGATCAAGAGGATTGATGAGCCCTTCATCACACATGACGACGACGTCAATGAATGGGCTTTGTAATAAGAGAAGGACAGGGATGGGAGCAAGCAAGCAAGCAAGCAATCAATGAAGTTGATGTGTCTGTCTGGGCATAATCTTAGAATTGCAGATACCCCCACAATGTTGGACATTACATTCGATTATCAGACTTTGTCATGAAGCACGTCCCAGTGCAAGATGGATCGTCTTAGTATCTGCACTCGGTAACATCCATCTTGGAGCGGGTGAGCATGAGAATGGAGACAATGACACCGTACAAGCCCAAGACCTCTGCAAAGATGAGGATTAGAACCATTCCGACATAGAGGCGCGGCTGCTGCGCGCTAGCCCGGACTGGAGTCATTAGATTCAGTGCTGAAGATAGAGGAGGTGAGCTTACCTCCAGCATCACCAACGATGCCAATGGCAAAGCCAGCAGCCATGCCACACAGACCAACAGCAATACCCGCTCCGAGCTGAAGGAAGCCAGTATGGATGGGCATCTTTTCCTTGATGCCGTTTGACATGATGACACTGGCGACGAGGCCGTAGATGGAGAGGATCTGTGCCATGATGGCACAAAGGCTGAAGGGTGTCAACATGTGTCCAGGTATAGATGTCCAACTGGACCTACGTATTCTGCATCAGCATGTCAGGACGCAAGATGCCAGACTGAAAGATGGCACCGGCCGACTTTGCAGTGCCATATGCAGCGCCAAAAGTGGTGAAGACGATGGAGACTGCACAACCCATGGCGCCAAAGAAGGACTAGGCTTTGTTAGATGTAGACCATTGAAGTGTGAGTTAATACATACGGCGTACATGGGACTAATGAGGGCATTGTATTAGCTGAAGAGTTGTCAAGAGGGAATGGGAATGTCTATACCAGCGGTCCATGTTGGCAAGGAGAGCAGGATCCATGGTTGGTTGATGGGCTTAGTTACGAGATATTTACAACTGTATGTGGGAGATGATGACTATGAGAACACCTGAAAGAGGCAGCAAAGGGTATATATTGTATTCTGTGCTATCTCTTGCCAAGCAATAGCACAATGCGATGTGATGCAAAGCCACCCCCTCCAGGTTCAGCTCCAATAGACAAAGAGATGTAAACACGGGCTAAAGATGCATCGTGGCTGACCCAGGCAGCTACGAAAGGAGCCTCAGCTGAATGTTGGTTGGTGAGAGTTGACGTGGCCTTGGTAGGCAGAAGGATAAGGAGGGTTATGAGTGGTGGGTTAAGCGTTGGAGGAAATTACTGTGAGTTCTAGTATTATAGATTGGCTGCCTCTGAACTTGAAATAGGAAAACAGGATAGATAGAGGTGTTTCATAAGAGGAGAAGATCTCGAGATATGAAATGTTCTGTGGGTGCCTTCTTGGCATGTCCGTTGTAAGACGGAGGTGAATGGTGATAGTTGCCTACCCTACAGCAAGAGGCAGAACCCAGTCTATCAACAACCACACACCCCCAATAACAGATATTTTGGAATTAACAAGTGAAAGGATCTAGATTTCTATATACATGCGTATCCGTATATATATATTTATTCCGAGACTACGTAGATGATGTCTATCAATGCTACGGAAACACGGCAACGCCTCCGCCACGAACGTCGTAAGCGTCTGTGTAAGCGCCATCATCTTGTGGAATCAAACACTGCACGTAACAAAAAAACACAGCCACTGAAATTCCTCGGAGAAGCGCTGCAGGGACCAGAAAAGAAGCTTTTTACTTACCCACAACCCGCTCTCACGTCACAAAAAAGTCTAGTAGAATGTGTCATGTACGTCCCCTAACCCACAATCCGAAGGAAAGACGCTAAGAATATCTCCCGAGGTTGCCGCTGTTAAACCCACTCGTGGCCGCGCGTCAACTATTGTGAGACGATGAGTTTGCTTTACTGTAGTTTGATCATGAAGGAGATGATTGTTTGGGAAAGATGTGTCAGGCGAGTATTGTGTTGCACGTAGACATGTTGTGGAATCATGGTGCGGTGGCTACAAGATGGGGATTCTAACAAGCTGTCGTTCCCCCGTTTCATAACTGTCTGATCATTCCAGCGCCATTCTTACACTTCCGGCTTATTTAAAAAAGGGAGAAAAAAAAAAAGAGGCTGCTTAAACTCGGCCTGTCCGTGCCGAAAGGCGATGCTCTGACGTTGGCTGGTGACGCAGTCGCTTCCTCGGGAGCCTCGTCCCGCGCGGATCCAACGGCACGCAAACAGTCTTTGTTCAGCGGGGAAGGGAAACCCATTCGAGGCTCAGACGAGTTATTTGTGAGCAGTTGGGGGGATATAAACTCCCAACAAGGGTCTACATTGTATGAACTGCACTTGAACATATACACAAATCAACCATGAATGCAACTCGGATATTTTATGCTATTCTCTCGTTGGCTTCGGCCACGGGGGCTATTTCTTTACACAAGAGACAGGATGGACTAGAGCCTAGAGTATTGGCTTTGGATTTGCAGAGAAGCACGATACATGATCCTGTTGGCAACGATAGAAAACGGCTTGCGAGACGGAGCGGTTCTATAAACGTGGGGATCGACAACCTGGTTAGTCTCTACAAGTCTTACTCCAACTATACGCATGCTGACTATATCATAGCAATCACTTTACTTCTTCAACGCCTCTCTGGGCACACCAGCTCAAGACTTTCGTCTACACCTCGACACGGGAAGCAGTGACCTCTGGGTCAACGCCAACAACTCGACACTATGCTCAACACCCGCCGATGTCTGCAGCACATCTGGCCTCTACAACGCAGCCAAGTCTTCTACTTACAAATTCGTCTCGAGCGAGTTCAACATCACCTACGCCGACGGCTCTGGCGCTGCGGGAGACTATGCCACCGAGACGTTTCGCGTGGGAAAGACTGAGCTTAAGGAGCTGCAGTTTGGTATTGGATATGAGACTTCGTCGGATCAGGGAGTTTTGGGTATTGGGTATTCGGCGAATGAGGCTCAGGTTGCCATGTTTGGGGGAGAGCCTTATGATAACCTCCCGGCTAAGATGGCTGCTGATGGGTTGATTGCTTCCAACGCTTACAGCCTCTGGCTTGACGATCTAGACTCTGCATCAGGAACAATCCTATTTGGAGGCGTTGACCGGAAGCGGTTCACGGGAGATCTCATCACAGTGCCCATCCAAAAGTTTGGCGGCCGCTTCTCCCAGTTCTACATCACCCTCACAGGCCTGAGCGTAGGTTCAGACACGGTCGACGACAACCTCGCCCTCGGCGTCATCCTAGACTCTGGCTCAACACTCACATACCTCCCCACCAGCCTCGCAGAAGCCGTCTTTGAGATTGTGGGTGCCGACTACGAGTCAGGAGCTAGCACCGCATACGTGCCCTGCGACTTGGCCAACGCTTCAGGCAACTTGACTTTCAGCTTCAGCTCTCCTGCAAATATCACGGTGCCGTTGAGTGAGCTCGTGCTTGACTTTACTGACGTCACGGGTCGACGGTTGCGGTTTGACGATGGTGAGCCGGCGTGTATGTTTGGCATCGCTCCATCGCCGAGCGGAACGAATATTTTGGGAGATACGTTCCTGAGAAGTGCATACGTGGTGTTTGACCTTGGAAACAATGAGGTTTCGCTGGCGCAGAGCAACTTTGATGCTGATGGGTCAGATATTGTTGAGATTGGCTCAGGGGACGGGGCTGTGCCTGCGGCGACGGGTGTTGATGAGCCTGTGTCGGCAGCTTCTGGAGTCTCCTCGAGTAGTGCTGGATCGCTTTCACCTCTGGGTAAGGATGGGGGTGTCTCTCTCTTTGTTGGGGCTTTGGCTCTCGGATTTGTCTGGTCTCTTGTTTAGGAGCTGAACAAGATCACGCAGCCTTGGGATGCTTGCTGATACTTTGCTGAAGCTGGAGTTGTTTGATTATTGGAACTGGATGAATCATGGGATATTTGCGAGGTGTTTTGGTCTTTTAACGGTGGTTTGACTTATACTGGCGTTGAGATGAAGCATCTACGAGACTCAGATTTATGACATAGACTATGGCGTCTGAATTTAACATTGATACATTAACCACCTCATATCCTTGGAAATTTCTAGTCCATATCTGATATCAGATCACAATCTATGGCTTGGATCGACAATTCTTGATGATGTGGTTGTGCTGACTTTTGCCGATTCGGCTCCGACGTGCTCTACTATCCCCGTTACTCCCGAAAAAGGATCAACAATGAGCGATTGTTCATCTATGAGCTGACTAGAGTTTAATTCCTTGATCTTATATAAACCGAGATACCTAGTTCGTCTGATCTCCTGTCTGGCTCATCAACTTATACCACCCACTCTCACCATCTCCAGTCCTACCAGAGCTTCACCTCAGCTACAACCATGACGGCTTACATCGAAGTTGCCGCGAGCTGGCTCTTCAAAAACGCCAAAGGCCGCGATGCAAAGGCCTTCTTCACTCATCCTGCCTTTGCCTCTCACCAAGAGCCGACCCTGTCCATCACATCTCCAGACTGTGGGACAGATGGCTCAACCCTTGGGAAGGAGTACATGCATGGAGGTGAAGGCCGCTTCCCTGAGCTGACATGGGACTCTCATGAGGATGTCAAGGAGTGGCTACTTGTATCTGAGGATCCGGATGCACCGCTTCCGACGCCTATTTGTCATGGGTGTGTATAAGTGTTGATGTGAAAAGGAGGTGGGCTAATATATGAGTAGGATCTATCTTGGTATTCCTCTTCAGAAAACGAGTGTTGTGAATAGCGACTTCAAACCCGTAGACGAAAAGTCTACCCGCCTAGAAGGAGGCTTCTACTATGGCGCGAGCCGCAATGGCATGATTTACATTCCACCGCGGCCTCTTCTCAACCATGGTATTCATCGATGTGAGTTGAAGTCTCTCACAGACCTTGCATCCACCAACACACTTACTCTAGATTGGTTTGAGATCATTGGCCTCAGCGAGCCCCTGGATGAAAAACTCGTGACTTCAAAGCCGACGACGGAGCAGGTGGCAGAAGCCATCAACGGCAAGGTTGTCGTCTGGGGAAGATGGATGGGACAGTGTGAGAGGCGATGGGAATAAAGATGACATGGCAATTTCTTTTAGCGAGTTCAAACATGGCTTCTTATAATCATGCACCGTCACATCTATATACGCCCAAAACTCCAGATATTCAACCCAACCTTGGTCCCCTCCTCCACGGGCAACCCAGCATGCCACGTCTCATCATAACCTCGTCCATCAGCCGCAAAATTCTCCCAGTAGACGGCATTCCCCGGGGTGACCTTGAACACGGCACCCGTGTTGTTTCCCCCACACTCGACGAACCGACACCACTCCTCACTTGCAGGCACCGGGAGTGCCGGGAACTCTGTACCGCCGCCCTTGATCCCGGAGCCGTCGACCCACGCCATGAGACTGCTCACACGGCCCCAGCCCCGAGTGTTGGAACTCCAGTCAAAGTGGTGTCCGTAGTGGCCTCCGGGTCCGTACCGCTGTGTTCGGAGGCGCTCGATGAACAGGTCGGAGCGCCAGCCTTGGAGGGAGCGGACTCGGTTCTCGATGCAGCGGACGGCGTCGGTGCGAGGGATGACGGCTACGGAGGAGTCGCGGACTGAAGAGTCGCGGTGTGTGGCTTCGCCGTCGTTGGTGATGGTTGAGGGTTCAAAGATGGGTTCACTAAAGGAGTTAGCAGAGGCAATTGACATATACAAGGCATCATCATGTCTTTTAAATGCTACTCAAACCTACCTAATCTCCAACAGATGCTTCCTCTCCTCCTCACTCAAGAAACCCTCCAGGTACACGACAAGAGGCTCCCGGTGCAAGATGCGAGCCACATACGAATCCGTCTCACAAACAGGGACAGTCGCATCAGGTGCATCTATCGCAAGCAGCGACTCATTAAGTTGCGGTCTCGAGTAAGCAGCATCGCGACGGCCGGTGCTGCCGGGATATAGGAACTCGCTGATGGGGTTTGAAAAGACGACGAGGAAGGCTATGAAGCCGATGACGTACGAAAGCATGACAAGAGACGATGTCAATGGATGAGAACATGAGTGAGAGGAAGAAGTTGGAGGAAAGGGAAGCTCAAGGGAGACAAGTCATGATGGAGCTTTTGTGGAGTTCATGAGTCGCCAGGGTCTGGTCTGAGCTTCGGATCTGACGGATCTTTGACCAGATTAGGTATCGAGGGCGATTACCTATTTAGTCGAGACGGAGAGTTTTGTAAACCAACTATTGAATGCTTACAAGACAATGACAACTGCTTGTTCATCTTTAATTCTAGGGATAGTTGGTGTTGAGTTATGCATGTCTCACAAAGACCAAGACATCGGATCAACTTCCAAATGGTGCTGCCGAGGCTCTATTGAGGTGAGAAACTCTCGTTCGTCTACCTATTATACCATGCGTGTCCCCATAATCGTACAAGAGTTGTGTGTCATGTCTAACTTTCATGCACCTGGGTATATATCGTACAACCCCCCTCCATCCAACTATTCGACAAGTAGAAATACATCCCTTTCTTTCATGTCATCCAAAAACCAAAACCAAAACTCCAATCATGGCCAGGGCATCATGGCCGTCATATCCACTCTTGCCGGTTCATAACCCCGTAGGCATCCCCTCTGCGTCCCAGTTCAAATCGGCATTCAGTACCCCCCAGGGATCAGTGCCATCGCTGGGAAGAGAATTCGTAATCATTGTTTCCGTGATTTGTGCAAAAAGTGTTTCCTCGCTCGATTGCCATATAGGTGTCGCTACACGCCCCTGCAACGCCCTCAGATCAATTCGGTTGTCCTCTGCAGCGTTGCCGAGCCCGTTATCTGGTGAGGTATGGCTGCTTCCAGATACTGTTCGAGCTCCAGAGCCTTGGTTCGCTGGAGAGGATGCTGAAGACGAGTTAGTGCGGTCAGGAAGCGAAATACTCGCTGACGTTACGCGAGGTGAGAGAGTTGGCCAAGTCCCTGTAGCCGCGAACCTCGGTCCCAGGTTTACCCCAGAAGTAGTGAAGGACGATAGCAAGTTACCACCACGCTGACCGTTCATCATTTCAGGCCCTGGGCTTGGAGACATCCGCTTCCTCTTGTTTGTCGCCGCGTCCTCTTGGCTCGGAGGTGCGACATTACGGGTGACGGCGCGAAGCATGCCATGGAAGCAGTCCTTACCTGGTCGATGATTCTGCATGCGGGCCTCTTGTTCTGTATCTATATTCCTCCTGTGCGCGAAGAAGAGAGATGAATGCTCCGTATGTTTTGTCACCGCACTTCGAACTAGCATAGGGATATGAGACTTGCTCTCCCCAAAGGCGTTGCGGAACCTCTTGAGTGAGGGCATTCGTATTGAAGAGTTGAGGCCATTGTGCTCAATGTCGAGACACGCCTGCTGGAGAAAGGCGCGAGTGATAGTGTGTGTTCGTGCAATGGCTTCCATGGCTTGGACGATGAGGTCGAGGTTTGAAAGGTCGATCGAAGTCAGACCGCCTGTTGGGTTCTGCTTGGCCAGGTAAACGTAGACTGTGGTTGTGCAGTAAAGCGAAAGAGCGCACAATGGACTTCTCTGAAGAAGATGTCAGTGCTGTGGCATGGTTAGGGGTAGTTGTGTACATACAAAGAAGAGCGTTGCATGCGTGTTGATCCTGATAATGTTTACTACTTCTTCGGCAGCCGCTCGGAGACGAGCGATACTGTTCTGCTTTATGTGGTCAGGCAGGCCATGCTTCTCGACCTTCTCGATAGCCGCATGATGAAGGCAAATGATGGAGGCATGTAGGTTGAGGTTCAGATGCGTGGCAGAAGCGTCCCGTACGTTTTCAGGCATGCGGAACTTTTCGGGGAGAAACATGAAGAGACTGGACAATGTGTTGTCCAGCTCGCGATGTCGATTCCAGTATGTCCCGTTCATGACATCGTCACATCCGTCGTCGGGTCGAGCATTATGAACATGCCGGAGAATACTCTTGAAGACCTCACAAGTGATGACTGTCCCAGCAAATCCTGTGTACTGTGCTCCTCGAAATGCGTCAGTCAGAAAAGGGGCTTCTTCTTCCCGGTCAGCGAGGAATGCGTCTTCCGAGGATGGTAGTCGAGTAGCAATCTACCAACTCATTAGTACAAGTCCCAAGAGGGCGGGTGGTAGATGTACATCGTCTTTGTTGAGCAAGCTGGGCCAGCCTGTCGAAATGCAGCAATGAGCATCGATCGAAAAGGCACCCCAGAAGACTCTCCTCCGTTCCTCAAGCTCTGCCCATGTGAGAGCGGGTGGCAAGGGTGGTGGCATTCCAAGACGCTCTCCATCTAGGCGATCAAGTCCTATCATGTGGCAGAGGCGGACGCAGTTTGCACCACTCATGGTTGATCTGCTGAATAGCATGACCTTTGCTTCATAGAAGGCAATGAGAGCCCAAGACTGCGCATGGTTGATGGAGACGAAGGCTTCTCCATGGCCCTGTGGTTGGTGTCAGCCTTGTCCAGCTTAAACTTTGGGTTGACTTGTACCTTCATCTCGTCTGCCTCAATATACTGCCGGGCCCGACGGTAAAAGACCTCATGATACTGGTTGTACTTGGCATGGCCAACAGAAGCCAGCGCCCATATTATGTACTGCAGGCACATAGGGGGCTTTCGCATAGGGGGACCATAGAAGGCTTGGAGATAACGCCCGGGATGAACAATAGGTATCATCTGGTACTGGTGTTGGAAGAACGTAGTGTTTCTATAATGTTAGTTGGTGTAAAGTAGCCGGGAGGTTGCACTTACAGTTCCTCCATCACTTCGTCTGGGGGCAAAGACTCTGTCATACCCAACCCCATCAACTGAGTGTTTGAAGGGGTTTCTGTTGGATCCGACTGTTCAAAGTAATCTGGACCAAAGAATGACATTTGAGGTTGTTCAGAGTCATCCTCCAACCGAGGCACGCCAATAAAGTTGGGAACCTCCATCTCCGGCTGAGCCGGTTGAACGGGGCTCTCATCCTCCTTATCATCAATGTTCTTATTCACCTCTTTGAGGTAATCTTCAACCTGAGCTGAGTGAGCACCAAAGTCAGCCACCCATCAATGAATAATCAGACATGAGACGAGCAATACCTAGACGTGCCTCAAGCTCTTTAACGTTTCTTCGCTTAAAGGTTGGCTTCCGCCGTGACTCTGGATAGACACACTCATTTGAAACCTTGACACAACGGCTGCATGCCGGCTTTGTGCGATCGCATTTCAGTTTCCGGGCCCTGCACGACACGCAGGCCAACGGCTCCGTGCCGGCCGGGGCGGCGGAGGCGGAGGTGGAAGGTTCGGACTCGGTGGTGTCCGGCGGCATGGCTACGGCTACCACTGAGCCTCATCCAGTCGGTGACGAAAGACAGGACTGGGGTGGGGATATGGACAAGTATGGATAGGGATAGGACGAGGGACGCTTGTTGTACATGAAACCTGGCCTCTGCAAGGTAGGAAATGAGCTGACGAGGCACTATCGCGTTCTCTTGACACGCAATTCGTAAGGCCTACGAGGCATCATGATAGAAACGACGTGACAGACATATACGCGAAGTCACGTTCCTAACTACGGTCGCGGACGCTGACCAAGAAGTGCCCGTTCGGATTTCTCACGCCGGAGAGATTTTGGTCCGAAGGCCGAAGGCTACAAAGTCCGAGAAGGAACTAATCCCGAGCATCGACGGGTTAGCATGAGTCACAGGTTGAAAACGCGAAGGCGCGAGTTGAGAGCGAGCGCCTTCTCCTTTTTTGATACTGTCGAGAGTAAGAACCAAAAGCGCAGGAATACACGAGGAAAGCCCGTCCTTCCGTCCTCTGGGAAGGAACGAACTTGGCGCGGGTCTTTCCTGCCGCGGGTGCCTGCAGTGCCTGCCTCCTTTATTTAGGTAAAGTAGGCGGGCAAAATCCATGTCTAAAAAGAGTGCGACGTGGGGGGTAGATATCTTCTGGTAATAGGTGCTGAGCCACACTGAACCAAATACAAACACCAACAACTATTCATCATTCCATCAGTTACTAGGAACTCGATAGAGTCTTTGTCTAATGGAGGGCTGGTCAAGCACGTGCTGTCCTGCATCCGGATGTTATGCAGCTTCGCTTCCGAACAGCGACAGCCTGCATCAAGGCGCCATCCTCCCACAGCCCGTCTCACAGCGCCCTCAACCACCATCACTCACTCGAATCTTACACACCGCCAAGATCTGGCCCTGTCGGCCTGGAACTCTGTATCGATGCAGATACCTCAAGAACCACTCCTGCCGCTCACTGCAACTGAAGTCGTTCATGATCACCACCGCTACCACCCGCCCGCGTCGGTAGTCTGCGCGCATCAGTCAGGGCGGGGACCAAGGGGCGAACGCTGACGTCTAGCACAACGTTCTCGACCAAGGCAATCGACCAAGATGAGGTGATGGCGACCTACTCACGCCAGCCGACCCAAATCTCGACCCTGCGATGTTGCGCATGTGCCGCGCAGCCAAGCGACAGAAGCGAAGCGAGGTAGCCCGTCTCTGCGCCAGCACGGTGCTCTTGACCTCTTGAATTCTTCGTCACTCATCATCACCGCCTGCTTCGTATCTTTGAGCCAATCTCGGCCCAACCTTGATTTGACTTTGCGAGCCCAGATCTTCCCCTCCCCCCCAGACGTGTCAGGGCAGCATCATTCCCAGCGCCAGCCTTGACGCCTCTGCGTCACACAAGGCTTGATGCCTCCTCGGTGCTACCGGCCTACCGCCGGCATGTCACACGGCCGTCATATCCAAGAGAGATGAGGGTGACATTTACGGACCGCGCCACCCAAGCATAGAGGAGAAACGGTGCCATCCACCATCTTGGACGGATTGGACGACAAGGGGGGAGTGGGAGGGTGGCACAGACACGGACGCTCACCGATTGTCCCCGTAAAGTGGGAGCAAAACGGAACGGTGCTTGGCCTAGCCGACGACGCTATTCGGCAGCCTCAATCCAAAGCCCATCAGCCTGAGCTAGAAGTTTGACAGGGCTTCTCGAGTTGCTTTGACGGCCGCCAAGACCCGCCCTTGGCAACTGGATGTGGCACCTAGCCGTCCGGCTACCGGCGAAACCAGTGCTGACGATTGACAGCTAGGGAGGACGCTATCGGCTGGGTCGCTTATAGGAATCCCGGCCGATCTAGGATCGACAAGAGAAGCCTTTATTAGCGGCGCGTCCAGGACGGGCTTAGACTCGACGCCATCCAGTCGACCACGCTCCCAATGTGAGCTGGCGGCCCCAGGTCAACGGGGCTCACCCTGGGAGATGCCCACCCTTGGCAGGTGGTTGATTCTCGCAACTCCGGGCAGTCATCATGGCCCTGAAACGCTGGCCACAGGCATGGCTTGCAGGACAGGACGGCATCGGTGGAGCGAGCTCCTTGGTGACTGACACTTGACCCTCTTTCCGCCCGGCTTGACTCCCGCCACTTCTTGACTCTTGTCGCTCTCCTCTTCCCTCATTCCCTCTTCATCGTCGATCGAAGCTTGGGCTTCGGGGACATTTGCAGGGGGAGAGGGGGATCATGTCTCTGGCATAGATTGCCGCGGCGGCGGGTTTCTCCATCAGCCCTGCCGGAACCGCCTGAAACGACGGCCATGGTCCCCAAATCATGCTTGTTATTCCCCGTCAAGCCAGCAGCAAGCCCTCCCACCACCAACACTTGGGGCGACGTCGCCGGGTGACTTGCTTGAGTAGCCAGCCGCATTGAGAAGCGGTGGCTGATGACCCTAACGTTAACGAACCGTCTTGCTTTCACTTTGCGGGATGAACAGGCACACACGCACGCACGAGCCAATTGTCAAAAAGTCAATTCATTCCCAGGGTCGGCTTAAACTTAGAATCAAGGAACTGGATGGACCGACCTTCTATGATAACTCAAGAAGAGATCGACGAGAAGGGCACCCCTGCGCCACCAACGTTGAGTTGGTTGGCTGCTAGCCCTGTTTTTTTTTGTCTCTTCCTGATGCAACGACAAGGCCAGCTTCCCATGTGCCTCGTCTCTCAGATAGGCAAAACGGCCATGGATCAAGTCAGCCATGTTGCTCTTTTCTGCGTTGCCACGCGGGAGACACGCCCAACCATGTCTCATGTCTCAAACCCTCGCGGGTGACCATGAGGATATCACCGGGGGCCGTGTCTCGGTATGGCTGCCCGAAATAGCTTGCTGAACTGTGGTGCCGTCATCAACACTGATAGACGGAGCAAAAAGAGATGAAGAAAACGGGGTGCATCAAGACATGCAGCCAGACGTGAGACAGCGCCCGGGCGCATTATCCTCTAAGACATCCAGGACTGTCAACTGCCCCTTCCTCAGGCGCCCGCCTTGCCCTATCGAGGCCCAAGTGTCTCGCTGTCATTCAGCCACGCGGCTGGTTCGCCCCAGCTCCATGGACGAGGAGAGAGGGATGAGGAGAGCCACTGGGGCTACCCTTGTCAATCTGCCAGCACCACGCGCTGCCTCTGGGCAAAAGGAAAACACCGCGCGCTATGCTGGGTGCAGCTGAATTGAAAGATCTACAAGTCCCCGGGCCAATATCTCAAGGGTCAGCCTAAACCCTTGACAACTCGAGCCTGTCTTGATGGCAGGTTTCATCATGAATCATGTTGATCTCCGCAGCATCTGAGGGTTCCCCCAGCCTCGACTTTAGCGAGCCGTTGGTTGTGTTTCTCGAAACTAAAACTCCTCGTCCAGCTAGAAGCAGAAACAAAGAAACATGTATGCCAAAAGGAGATACGCCTCCCCAGCCTACCTGTCAACGGCGCCTTACCAAAGCCCGCCACAGGTCTGCAGCAGACGCCCCCTCCCCTTCTTGACCATATGCCGCGGCGAACGAACGAACACCCGGTCCGTCTCGTATCGTCTCGTGTCATTCGTCTGTTAACTTAACTCCGAAAGAGACTTGGGTGCGATGGATGTGCATTGGTGCATGGCAGTGACAAACGACTCGGAAGCGAGGGTCTGTCATTGTCATCAGAGTGTCATGCCTGAGACTAGTTGGTTCAACACGAGATCAGAGGGTTCCATGCCGAGACAAGCGTCGAATGAGCTCACAAGGAAGGGCCTTGACCACCTCACCTCGCTCACACGAATGAATGAATGCACAGCACGTACATACAGCAACTGACATTGTTTACACGCTGCGGTCTGGCCTGGCCTGGTCTGGTTTGTCCAGAACTGGCTCTTGATTCTCGGCCCGCAACCAACTGGACGTCACCCACAGCACAGGGTCACTTGGCAGCCACCACCAACTCCGGGATGATAATCCTGTTCCTCTTGGATGCATCTGATGCATCTGCCGTCCTGCCCTGACAGCGTGGTTGATGCTTGTTTCCACGCCATTCTCTTGTCGTCTGTTTGCTGGGCCCCCCATCTTGAGAGGAGCCATATTAGGCCCGCCTGCATACATACTGTGCCCTTCAACTCCATCCTACCGGCCGGTCAGCAAGCCCTGCCTGCCGGCGAGGGTTCCCCCCCTCACCGGTGAACTTGACATGTTTCATGGCACTGCGAGCATCCCTGATCCCAGGCTGGGCGCATGCGTAGATCGTTCGACTCCGACTACTTGCTGCGAATGGTTGTCTAGACCAAGGACAGTGGCAGATCCCCTCACGGCATTCACGGCTCAGGCTCCCGTTTGGAACCCCGTCTAGCCCTGTCTAGCCCATTTTCTCAAGTGCCGTTCCTACTCTACGCTGCTGTACTGTACTGAGCTGTACCGAGCTGTACCGCATCTCGGCCGCTCGCTCAGGTGGTCATGACCCAGTCGTGACAGCATCAGCATGAGCATCAGCAGCATCGGTGTCAGTGTAATCATTGTCAAACTCTGAGAAGCGACAACGCTCAGACAGCAGGGTCGTCTTTACGGAACCATGCCGCGACATATGCGTCAAACCGTTCATCGAGTTCCGTCATGTTGTCAGGAACTGTTTCTGTTTTACCAAGTTCAAGGACGTTCCCAGGACAATCAATCAATGCCTCCACAACTTGGCCCCCAGCGCAGTTGTCTCTTGTCTGAGGAGCCGCCTTTTCCATTCCCATGACATTAACTCGTTTTCTTTCTACCTCTACCCCGTTCAGCCACAATCCTTTCTCGGCACCATGCATTCTACTGTAGCGACGGCGCTGACCCAGCGCCTTGTGAAGTCATGGATATGCTGCCTTTTATGCATTCGCGCGAACCCCCCTCCCCCCCTCCTCCTCTCTGCCCGTGCCGCACGACATGCACACCCTCTTTCTTGTTAGGTTGTCACACAGCCCCGGAGAATCTCCGTCTTGGATCTGTATCATCCGAGATGCGTGGTGACAGAAAGAGGAGGGTTGCTTTGGACAGGACCTCGCGAATCTCGGACACCTGAAAGGCGAAGTTTGTTCGCTCATCACTCACCGTTGAATAACCAACCATGCATCCACCACCGCCAAGAGGCTGAACCCTTTCCACCCCCAACGGTTACGACCCAGTCGATAGTACGGTTCAGTACCTGCCTCTCGCCTTTCGCCTCCCGCAAGCCAGCACACGCCTCCCGGAATACTACAGTACGGTATTCACTCCCCCACGGGCTTCCATCGTGAGCCCTATGCCTCTTGTCCGCCCTTAGGTCTGTAGCTCTAAAGATGGACTAGCCGCTGCCGCTATAGTCGACCGGTCGTTAAACCACCCCCGCTGGGGATCCGCCATCCCCTCACCTCCACTCACCTCCCCAAATCTGGATTGGGGGACACTCAAGTGGTTGTGAGGCCATATGGTGTCGTACTCAAGGTAGCAGTGACTGTAAGGTAAGACTGCCCATCACCAGGGGAGGGGAGGGTGAGGGTGAGGGGGGGTGGTGGATCACGAGCTGGGAGCTTACAACCACCAGAGAGGATCTTGTGTCCACTGAGGAGACGTCGTCTTAGTCGGTTGTCCAGTAAATTAAGTCTTTGATGCACAGACTGGTCGTAAGCTTCTGCTGTCAAAAAACAAGACGGACCCAGAAGAGGAGACACGGGCTTCTTGTTGGTTCGTCCATGGGAGGTTTTTGCCCCCCCTTTTCCAAGAGGTTCCTTGACTGATGATTGAAGGGTCGAGCGAGTGAGGGTGATGATGATGATGATTGTGGAAATCTAGTGAACCAAGGCGTCTGGGTCGCCTGTTGTTGCACTCTCTCTTGTTGTTTGTGTGAGCCCCTGTAGGTTGCCCGTGAGGTATCTAGGTAATCTTTGTTGCCCTGTTTCTTGCCCTGCTTTGCTTTGCTTTGCTTTGCCTTGCCAGGCCCCCTACCCCTAACCTTCCAGAGAGGATCATGACCCTGATCCAAATCCAAAATCAAAATCCCAAAAATAAAACGCTATTGCCGTGTATGTTGCGTCTTTGTCGTCTCTGTGGCGTTGATAATCGATGTCGCTTCCTTTCGTACCATACCATATCATCCAATACCGTAAAGTACCCGCCTCAGTGGCTGGGCTGGGCAGGTTCCAAACATGGAAACCAACCAACCGCGCCCCTTCTCCACTTAAAAAACATGAAATCGGTAATCTCCCTTGCGCATAAAAATGGGATATCCCATCGCCAAGCGCGTCTGTGGACTAAAACAACCACCATCGAACCCACCCCCCAACAAGAAGAAGTAAAAGAAGAAAAGAAAATAGCCGCTATTCTCATACCCAAGATGTCTCGTGTCAAAAGTAATAAGCCCAAAGGGGGAGTCGCTCCAGAGAATTAAGAGGTCGGGAGAAGTCCAAAGAAAAGAAACAAGTAAATAAAAACGGTACTGCAGCGCAGCGTGGGTGGGCGCCTGCAGCCTCCCTAGACTTGGCCTAGCGTAGTCGCAAAACTAGACGCTGCCCCTGCCCATGGCATTGCCCGTTCTTCGCTGGCTCAGCGTCTCGAGATCCTCGTCGTAGGTGGCGCCCTCCCCGTCGCTCAGGGGTCCGACCGGCTCCCGCTTGCCGTGCTCAAAGTCGCCGCGTTCCGTGGTGGCGAGGATTTTCATGTCACCGCCGCCGCGGGCGCCCGTCATGGCGTCAGATTCGGCGCGCGCATTGTTGATCATGGTCGGCAGCTGGCGACGTCGAGCGTTGATGAACCAGTTGGAGATTTGATCTGTGGGTGTAGCCGTTAGTTTCCAGTCAACTCTACTTGGATGCACATCACAGTAGCTCCCACCCACGTGGATCTGTACTGTATGAACCAGGATTATCAACTTACTCATCTGTAGTCCCGTCTGTCGCATGAGCTCCTGCTTCTCGTCCTCGGTGGGATAAGGGTGCTGGAGGTGCGCCACAAACCAAGCCCTGAGCTTGTCTGTAGTCTCCTTGGGCAGGTTGCCCCTTCGCTTCCGCTGCTTGTTGTCTCCGTTGAGGCTCGAAGGGCCCATCTCCCCGAACCGCACAAAATCTTGGTAGGGAGTGTTGTAGCCGTTTGCAGTAAACGGTGTCCGGTCAAACGAGTGAACAGATCCCGCAGAGAGTGACTGGTATCGGGTTGGGTGGTGATAAGGATAGGCGTAGTTGGGCTCGCGGTAGGCCGAGGGCGCGGCTTCAGGGACGGGTGCCCCTGAGTGGGGAGGCATCGGGGGATGCGAGCTTCGATAACCCTCCACCACCGCACGGTTAACGGGGGCTGCTTCTCGTTCCATCGTCCGCGGTGGTGGGAGACTGGGAAGTGTTGGTCGAGGTTCTACCCTCTCGTTCACCTCCATTGTAGCAGGGTGAGGGGCCGATCCGTTTGCGATATACGGACTCGTTCTGGCCGGTCCCCAGTTATCCTGCGCTCCCTGCTGCATAGGGAGATTTGGTGAGATTTGTCGTGGTGATGCTCGGTCGGGGCTGTATAGAAGGCGCGGTACTTGGCGTGCTCTCTCATTTTCCTGCTCGCGCTCCATCGACAATCTCCTCCTCTTGCTAGCATTAGGCGAGTGTACATATTGCGGTGATGCTGAGTTCATTGGTGGTGCGCCCAGAGGGCCACCTGCTGAGTGTGGCTTTGCATTGAGGTCTTGCGGTGGTTGGGGTTGAAGCTGTAGTTCCGGGAAAGCCTGGGAGAGGTCAGCTGGGGACACTTTGCCTTGTCTCGTTTGTGCCTAGTCTACCTGTCGAATGGAGGGGAGAGCAACTCTGTCGTTCTCGGTTCTCGGCCGTAGAGAGTAGTCGGGGCAGCGGTTGGCCTCCCAGGGGCGGGGCATGCCGAAGGAGGGATGAGAGGAGGGAGATGCTGTAGCAAGCATAGACATTTTGGCAGTTACTGGAGCAGTTTCTTGTGGTGTTGTTTCAGACTGTTTTGGCAGTGAACGGCTATCTTCCATAACAAGACGGCCAGTCAGGCAAGAACAAACCGCGCAGCGGCCAATTCCCTTTCAGGTGTTAATAGGGGCGGACTCGGGCGCGGGTAGAGGCCGTCGTGAGGAGGCACTGGTGGTGGTACCTTTGATTATTATACAAAGTAGAAGCCGAGATGTAGACCCAAAGGTTGAACGATCGTCTTGCTGGAAAGCTCCAGTGTAGATGAATAGAGCCAGAAGATGGTTGTTGGGTAAAGAGCGAAGTCCGTCACACAGTCTCAAACAGATCCAATACCGGTCGTGATAGAGAGGGATGGTGGCCAAGGGAAGAAGTGTTGGTCTTGAACAACGATGGGCAGGCCAGGATCATGTGCTTGCAGATGGTGGGAGGCCCAAGCCTTTTGTATATCAGGGATACTGTGGCGGCTCAATGGTGTCGACGACAGACAGTTGATCCTCCAGAGTCCGCCAGCATAGAGTGGGGGGCGCTTGGTCGTGACCTAGATAGGAAATGCCAAAGGATGCAGGGCCATAAACAGTCTGAGCGGAGAATTTCAGAGTGGTCAGGGCTCAACTGGAGAAGTGGTTGTATTAGTGAAACCGACTCGTCCAAGCCACAGACGACGACGTGGGAACAAAGCGTTGTGAACTGGGATGCCGGGTCTTTAAAACAAGACTTCTGCTGGACGTCTTGTGGAGGAAACGGCTGACGGGGAGGCTAAACCAGAAATGGACCAAGTATGCGAAGCTTGAGCAGGGAACACGGGGCGATCAGGGAGCCAGGGGAGTCAAGGGGACGGGGCCAGATGAAGAAACAAATGCCCTTGTCCACGGCGTCGGGCGTGGTATCCTTCAGGTCAAGAGAAACGTCACCAGTCCTAAAAGACAAATGAGAGCTTTGACAGGCTCATGGTGGTTGCTGGGATGACCCTACCAGGGGTGGCTGCTGGCATGGAGCAGGGGTTCAGTCGAACCGCCAAGGACCTCCCACGCTGGGCTGCTGGCTTCTCGATTTAGGAACCCCATTTCGAGAACCCAGTCCACCGTGGCTGACACGCCCTGGCGTGGGAGAGAGCTGCTGCTGGCAGCCTTGGCTGTGGAGTGTGGAGTGGTGTCAGTTCTCGCCGCTGGCTCCCACCCCCAGCTGTCCGTCCCTAGCATGTCGGTAGGTGTTGTGTTGTAGGTAGCGTTGCCAGACTCGGAGCCAAGACGGTTGAGAACGTGCCATGAATGGGATTGTCCTACGCGAGGACCAGACCGGGTCTTGGGGTGGCATTGCATATGCGTCTTAACTTGCACACGCATACCGGACGGAAGTGGGCATATATGGATGCCTTGTTGCATGTGCTGCTATGCTCGTTGCTCTCTTCTTGACCAGCTAGTCCGACCGACATGAACAGCCAGCTCGAGTTGTCCGCACCGCCTCGTCGTTGTTGGGCATCATGTCTCCCCAAGTCGGTCAGCCCTTCTCAACGTTACCAAGCCTTTGTGGCTGCGCGCTAGATGCTGGACCTATGTGGTTGAGAGACGTTGAAAGTCAGAGGCCACTGAGACGACTATCTGCTGTGAGGCGATCACGAGGTTGCGCGCGACGCTCTGACCCATGCCGATGGGTTTCGGGCTTGGTGTTATTAGAGTTTATGGATGACGGGTGATGGTGTTGCTCGAACGGTTGCCGTTGCACTCCTTTTGGCTTGCCCTCCTCCTCTTCCCTCCCCCTCCTTCGCCTCTCTCTGTGTCTGTGTCTGGCCTCTCACTAACACGGCACTCAGCTAGACGAAGCTGACGAAACGCTAAAGTGGAAACCTCGATATTTGACGGCCTGTCACGTCCGCATTCGCTGCGGCTAGGGGAGACGCTAGGGCGGCTACACACCCGCCACCCACGATGGCATCTGCAGGCCTGTAGGGCCATGATTCAAGCGTTGCCATCGGGTTCGCCGCCGTCGCGCAAGCAATTACAGCCAGTACCGCGTTGTGGATCGATCAATTGAGCGCCGGGCCTCTTTCTCCTGTCTCTAGACTCCGGACCCTTGACTCTCGGTTGAGCAAGCGAGCCGCAGTAGTAGTAGACAGGCGCTGTAGTCTCGTCTCTGGTTGAGGCTGGACCAGCCGATCCCACAGCATTAGGTACCGTCTAGACAGGCCATGGGCTCCCGGCACTCGTCGTGTGTTCGGTACCCAGTGTGGGGTTGTTGAACGTGGTAGGGAATGCCTTGCTTTTGCTCGAGTGTTTGCTTCTTGAGTCCCAGCGCCCAGTGTTTGAAGGGGGGGCGCCAACCTAGGCGAGTCAGCCCAGAACACCCACTCAGGCGCCAGGATTTGATATGATTGAGCCGCGGCTTCAGCGGTAGCGCAGAGGCGGGAGGCCCGTGGCGTCGACGGGCAGTCCAGGCCCAAGTCCCTGGGTCTTGGGATTTAGGCCCATGTTCCATGATTATCTTTTTTCCAAGACCAAACGCCTCCTCTAACGAAAGAAGGAGTCCATCACAAGGCAAAACCACACCTGGAGTTTCTGGAAAGGGCGGTAATTATGAAGGCCCGCGCTTGTTTGGCGAACCAGCGGTAGCCTGAGACGATAAGCTTGGAAACAATCTCGCAGCCTCTAGCCTCTAGCATGGCTCTGGCACAACAGTGAGACAGGACCCGGGTGGGTTTGTCAGCCGAATGCAGTGTTGCGATTGGCTTCTCAAGTTGTACGATCGTCGCGAAGATCCCACGGCGCCAGAACAGATTAGGGTCGCCTCCGCTGCTGGGATGTGCATTCTGCTCGCGAACGATTGGCTCTTCAGAAAGACGTTTGAGCTGGGATCGCAATATGGTAGGTTGGTTTCGCTGAGGGCTCCGCAGAGGTGCACAGAAGCAGCAGGTACTCGAACATGTACCGTAGCATTGCCAGGCCTGCGAGGCCCTGCCACCGACGACGGTCAAAGTCATGCTGGGCCCTAGCACCTGGATCTTGTCCGTTAGAGAATATCACACAGGAACGGGGGTGTTTACTGAAACTGAGAACTGAGACTTTCACAGCGGGAGCTTGTTCCTGGCGTGCGTACCTGAGCTTGGCATCAAATCAGCAAGCCTCATCCAACCTGTTGCAAAGCTTGTCCAGTGGGAACTTTGTGCATGCGGATTTGCTTTACGATCTGAGTTTCGACGCTTTGGCATCTGGACGTGCTGAGTAGAGGGAAAGGGATGCGTGAGGTTGCAGTGCCGTTAGTGTCGGTTCATCTTGGCTGGCGTTTCTGACGGAGGAGACGATGCCATTCCCAGGTAAGGAACGCTGGGACAGAAACCCCACCGGGAAGGCCCACATCACGTTACCTTTCACGCCTTCCGAGTCACGGGCGTGAGAAGGAGGCCACACAGAGACGTCCAAGATGAAGGAAATTAAAATAAATTCATGTATACTACCTGCAGTCTTTCGGCCTAACTGTAGTTGTTTTTCTGTCACCGCTCTTCGATCGACCGTATTGCAACTTTGCACACCCTCCACCTAAATGGGCGATGGGCCACTTGAAGCTAAAGGATGACCGGCCGGCCGGATAAACGGTGCGCCGCGCCCCGCTGCACCGAGTCAATCTGTGCAGACCTCTGCCTTCCGGCTATGTTAGTTATACCGAACATCATCCCGCTTGCACATCAAGCTTCACTTCAAAGTTTCCAAATTGCTGGAGACATCGACCAACTCCTCTTGTACCCCGTACCTCGTGGCGGTACGTGCATCCCAAAGATCTGGCAAAGGGGGAGGAGAGCCAACGGTCTCCAACGACAGGCCGGGCTGTCTTGTCCACCGATCACTAATCGTCCTGCATGTCAGGCTGGTTCACGTCCCACTTGACAAGGGTCATCCACTAGCGAAACCCTGGTTCGTCGAGTTATTCCCTTGGCGCGGACGGGTCTGCCAAAATCATTATTGCTTCAGCCAATTCTGTTATAGCCACAACCTCCAGGATTACGACTCATCATGCCTGTTGGAATCAACCTGGGCCGATCTGTCAGGGCCGGTGTGCAGACTCCTCCTCGCTCTCGGATAGATTCGTCTCAACCTGGCTCTGACAGCTGCTAGGCTCCTGACCTGCCTGCTTAGCACTTCCTCAGTCTTTCTAGGGTGCCAAACGCGCTTTGCCAACAAAAGTATTCCGGCCTCCGGCCCCGGGAGCCACTATCTCGTGCCAGCGCCGAGCCATATGTCGTCGATGCATATTTCTGGAGACTACGGGCCTTGATGACAGCAACCGGACTGTCGTCAACAAAGACATCATTGGCTGCGGCATGTGTGTGTCCCTCTTAACCCTATGGGTCTGATCGAGGGGACGACGAATGCACATCCTGCCAGATGATTTCCCTTCCATCATGGAACGAAGACATGGTCTGCAGCCTCCAGCGTCGCACTTCTGTGGATGACCATGCTTTCAACGCAGATCATGCTCCGTACTGTCAACCTCAAGCAGTGTCATGAGCTGGACCTTCATTGGTCATGTCGGCTAGATGCAACTGGATCCCTACGACAATCCCTTGGTCTACCCACATCTGTCAAAACCATCCAAGCAACGGAGACACTTCCCAATCCTTCCGGTTTCCTACGCACTGACGGCGAGAGTCCTCGAACCAGTCCAATCCCATACAACCCAGGGGTAGGCGACGATCATCCAGCCTCTGATCGTAACAATTCTCAAGACCTTGGCAATTGCTCAGGCACTTTCGCGCACCTGCCGCTCACGTCGCTAGCCGCTATCAAACAGCCCGTCCATCCAGTTGCTCCGGGTTGACAAGCAACCTGTCCCGCTGGAAATATTCGCAAGACTCGCGGCAATGTGCACTCAATACATTCATTGTCTTGGTGCAGCTTTCCAGCCGTTGTGTGGCCTCAACCGGGTCCACGCCTTGTCCACCATGCACAACATCCTCCCGAGCAGAAAGAGGGTGGTTTCTTGGGCGCCATCGTCTTGGATT